CAGCGCAGACAAAAAAAGAAAAAAAAAAGAAATAATTATACGTATTATTCATTATATTTTTAATCTGGTTGATAAAAAATTCTCTGAAATCAGTGCTCTTATCTGAAGTTCTAAAGTAAATTTAGGGACAGATAAAAGCAACTACCATTTGAAAGAAAAAAAACTGGGAAAACATGCATAAGACACAACATTCCCTATCTAACAGACCGTTAACAGAAGTGTGTGTGTGTGTGTGTATGTATGTATGTATATGTGTGTATGTGTTTGAGTGTGTGTGTGTGTGTGTGTGTATTCTTCCATCAGGAAGAATATGGTTATTTTTCCTCAAATCATCAGGAAAAAGGGATGAGGATACTGAAAACTTCCTTACTTGAATAGAACAGTTCCAGTGGGAATTGACCATGCTAACTGGAAGTTTTGATTCAAATACCTCTGAAAGGCATCAGGCTGAAAAAAATCTTGCCTTTAAAAGAACCTTGCTAGAATTCAGATGAGCAGATTCATCAAGCCAGAAGAGATCACAGGGACAGCTTTTTGGGGCTGGGCACACAATTTACAAGAAGAGAAAGGCCTATGGAATATCTCTCTCTCTGTCTTCTTCCTAATTTAGGGGAGGCAGCTGGACTGAAGCAACTTGAACTGTACGAAAGACTGAGGATCATTTGGGGCTACTTATTTGTAGTCAGCTCTAAAGCTGGGTTTGCTGAATATGCTAAACCATAATGTGCTTTCTTGGGCTTGGTTTAGCAAGATGGGTGAATCCATCCATTGTAATGTATAAATCAGTTTATGGCTTAACATTGTGCAATGATAACACTAAGATTTGTTCAAAAAATCAGGGTTAACACATTATGGGAGAGCACGATATGTCAATCCAGCCTAACTGTGAGTGCATCTGGAGCCAACAGCTTGGTTGAGATTAATCCAATCGAATTTTATAATTGGCAGCAAATTAGATGGTTGCTTTTTGGTGTTCAGTGTTCATCTCAGAATATTGCTTTTAAACAATCTAATAATTTGAGGAGTATTATTTGATTCCATGTTAAATTATAGCATGAAATGACTGTGTTTCCTCACTAATTTTCCTACCTCTTTTGATTGATACTCCAAATCGAGTATGATTCACATCCAATCCTTTAGGCAATCGTAGTGACTGATCATGGGATTTCCCAAGAGGAGCTTCACGGCTGCTTAAGTAGACAGATTCTTTCTTCTTTTTAATTTTTTGTTGGAAGCCTGTTTTAGGAGGTGGATTTGCTAATAACGATACCTGAAGAAATTTCACACCATACGAAATGTATCAGTTCTGAAGCACCTTCTGTTATGCTATCACATCAATTTTATTAACTCTATGGCACAGTATCAGCTACTAATTTGATTTAGAACAGGAAAAAAAAACCCTAAGTGATTTCTTGAAGGTACTACTGTCATCTTTGTATAAACTAACATCCTGAAATTGCCTATACATGTTCATCACTTACTTCCTATGTGTGTCATGCATTATTCAAAACATTTTGTAAACATTTACATTTAAATACAATGAAAGATGAAATAACCAAAATTTCATGGACACACAGGCTACCATTAAAATGTTTCTAGTGGGAATAATGTCTTGTAGCATTATTAAAGTTGTTACCAATCATTTGATTTTCAAAAATGATTACAAACAGGAGGGGGGAGGGATCAGCCATATTCCATTTTGCAAAAAGCTATTCTAAATCCCTGGCTGACTGAAAAGTTGTCTCCAGTGACATGGAATATACAGTGTAGGTATTTGTGTTATGGATATTAGAACTTTACAGAAGATAAGGTTTTGTTTTTTTTAAAATCCATCCTATTCATCTTTGTGCTCCATACATAGAAATTGGGGACTAGCTGAATGATACATACGTAGGTACTTTTACTTTAAGAACATCATCTATTAAAAGTGATTCATACAAACTGGAACAGGTACAAGGAAGGCTAACAAGGATGATCAGGGGATTGGAAACTAAATTGGAGAACCTGGGTATATTAGATTTTTAAAAAGGCAGTTGGGAAGAGGGAAAAATAACAGCACCCAACAAGTACCTGAATGAGTGTCACAACAAAGAAAGTCACAACCTTCTTTGCCATCCCAGAGTAATAGTGATTTAAGTTATAGAAAAGCAGATTCTGACTGAATGTTATGAAAAACCTTCTGACAGTAACAGCAGTGAATCCAGCTGGTAAAAGACATCATGGGCTTCTTACTAAATGTATTCAAGAAAAGGGTTGACAGCCACTTGTTGGGAATGCTTTCTTTTGCATTCATGAATGGAACAAGCTTTGAAAGTAGGGCCTAAGTGGGCTTATGGTTTTGGAAGTGAGGGCCCACTTTGGTATTCCTAAGAAAAAGAATAAGCAGGGTAGAACCCTAAACTCATAAAATCAGAGTTGATTTTATGAGTTTAGGGTTCTACCCAGCTTATTCTTCTTATTTGTTACCCTTATTTTTCTTGATGTTTACTGGGCTGCCTAATGGAGCAATAATTCCAATAATCAAGGTATGTATGTACAAAGCTATTCCTGACTTTGGTTTATCATACTTATATTGCAGTGATTTATGTTACAGAAATATCAGCTATAATTTTACATGGGGAAATCATATTTCAGCATGTCCACTGAACGCTCCTTATTCAGAACTAATAAAGATTCTGTTTCATATCAATAAAATCAAATACAACTTCTTCACTTAGGAAAAAAGAAAAGATGTAAACATTCTTACATTCTCAGAAGTGATGGATTTTATTCCATGAGTCAAATATGATGCAATATCAGGATCATTTGCTCGGCCATAAAATACTCTTTCTCTACCTGTAGGAGGATTGCTGGTGTTTCGAAACTTTTTTACAACAGGTGGAGTAACTGGCTATAAGGCAACATGAAAGCCATTTTATAGTGAACATTCTTGTAAATATCTTTAAGAGCATCATTTATTTAAAAATTAGAGATAACTGCATTAATGTATTGTTGAAGGCTTTCACGGCCGGAATACAATGGCTGGTGTGGGTCTTCCGGGCTGTGTGGCCGTGTTCTGGAAGTTTTGTTTCCTAACGTTTCGCCAGCATCTGTGACTGGCATCTTCAGCTGGGCACAGAGAGAACTGCTCCTGTCTGTGCTCCTG